TGACTCAATTATCTATCTCTATATCTATCTATCTATGCAATTCTATCTTTTATCGTTGGCTTTATTTGCCGGGCTTAATACTAAAAAAGAGGGCGACTGGAACAAACTAGAGTTGCCAGGAAAATTCATGATCCTTCCAGAAACTCCAGCGCGCATGCTCCCAGCGTCACGCGACTTCCGCTATCGTAACAATATTTTTATTTTATGAGACACAAATTCACTGTAGTTCGTCAAATTAATTTACAAATGTGTTATTTTATATGATCCTATAGTAATGTTATTTTTCACATATTTCAGTATGCCAAATTTATCAATTATAAAAGGTTTGGATCACTTATAGAATAATATTTAAATCAGGACCAAACAAACTGCTATTCATCACCATATATTCTTCACTGAAATCAGAATTATTATAAAACATTGTAATAATTATCGGTCATGCACGAGAAGCGGATTGTAATTCGTGTAAAACCTAACAGGCGGCGCGTCTAAAATTTCCATTAGACAAAATTATTATTGTGATAATAATTTTCATTACATTGTTTTTATTAAAGATCGCATTTATGAGTATCATTTCATCTTTCAATTATCTGACTTCAAGAGAAATAATAATAATTAATGATTATCATTTGTATCCAAATATCATATGATTCTTGGTTCCACAACTTTAGTATTTAATTGGCTGCGAAACTGGGAGAAACAAGTAAACAATAATTCTTTGTTTGTAAGTGATGAGAAAGACACGATACTATCTAGTCCTAGATTGCAGAGAACAATAAGTTTCCAACACAGGTGCCAAAAGCAATCGAAAATATTCTTAAAGTAAAAATGAACCTGTATATAAGTTATAGTGTGTGTCGAACAACAGGTGAGAGCCTTAGCATTACATTCATGAAAATATTTTGGGCATTTTTTGTGTGTGTCTACTTTTAGAATATCGGTTTTGAATGGCGAACTGCCAGGACGGTTTCTGTAACTTGTAGCAGATATTTTAATAGTAATTACTTGTGTGTCTACTTTTAGAATATCAGTTCTTGAATGGAATTTTTTTGTAATTTATAGGAGTTATTTTAATAGTAATTACTTGTGTGTCTACTTCTATAATGTCAGTTTGTGAATAGTGGTTTCTGCAACTTGTAGCAGATATTTTAATAGTAATTTCTTGTGTGTTTACTACTATAATGTCAGTTTGTGAATAGTGGCTTCTGCAACTTGTATCAAATATTTTAATAGTAATTTCTTGTGTGTTTACTACTATAATGTCAGTTTGTGAATAGTGGTTTCTGCAACTTGTAGCAGATATTTTAAT